TTTCACATTTTGCTCCTTGGATTATTGATTTAGGTGCTTCTGATCACGTGACAAGTTTTTCTCATTTGTTTCATATTTATATTCCTTGTTCTGGTCATGATAAAATCCGTACAACAGATTGTTCCTTTTTTCCCATTGCTGGCAAAGGTTTGTAAAATTTATCTAAAACCTTATCGCTTAAATCTATTCTCCATGTACTGAAACTTTGATATAATCTCCTATAAGTCAGTAAACTAACTAGAGATTCTAATTGTCGCGTCACCTTCTTTGAATCTCATCGTGTTTAGGACCAGAGCTCGGGGAAGACGATTGGGAGTGCTAAGATGATAGATGGTCTCTATTATTTAGAAGATGAAGATTCCAAGAATAAAAAAGCTCAAGGCCTAAGTAGTATCAGTTAAATCCATGTTAAGGATCAAATATTGTTGTGGCACAATAGGCTTGGGCATCCTAGTTTTCCTTATCTGACGTGAACCCGGGTACGGCATCAGCGTGAAAATCACGAAATTAATTGAAAACATCGAGAAAGTCCAAATTCAGGTTGTAGACAGTAGAATCTCGACCCGCAAATTATTGAACCAAGCAACCAAACAAAAACGAAGTTTGAATGACCTCTTGATTACAAAAACCAACGAACCTCGATTTGTGAACGCCACAAATGACGCCTAATCCTTTCATAAGTTCTAAGGATTGAACGCCACAGATATAACAATATTTGATAAGGTCGGTATATGTTAAATAAGAACAAAGAGAAATCTCATTTAATTCATAATATCAAAAAGGTTCTTAGTTTTACAATGAAATAAATCTCTTATTTATACTAATGCTAGAAAACCTAATAAAATGTAATTAGGTCATAGAATATTGTCAAAGTTGGAAATAAAATAGAATCCTAGACTAACAAGGAAATCTCGCGAAAATAGAAAAATTTCACCAACTTGTTCTCAGCATGTTTCTGTGAGATTGCAAGCCCAAAAGTACCATGAGCTCGCGTGGCCTTGTGCAGAATTTCATGCCATTTTCGGAATGTACTCATGAGCGAAAATCCTACAACCAAGCTGAAAGTTATGCCCGTTTTCATCCACGCTACTCGTTTTCTTTCCAAATATCTTCCAAACCTTGAATTCAACTCGTTTCGGCTTCCGAGCCCTTCACAAAATTTGAACATTGGCTTGTCAACTTCTTCAATTTGGACTTCAAAACTCAACCAAGTGATTTCCTATCCCAGATCATATCACTATCTTAAAAAAAATGTTTCCTATGCTATTTTTAGTGTGGATTGTTCTAAATTTCATTGTGAAAACTGCATGTTATCAAAAAGTCATAAAACTAATTATCCTTCAGAACTGTATCAAGCTTCAAGACCATTTTATTTGGTTCATAGTTATGTGTGGGGTTCCTCCACGATCAATACTTTTTAGGAAAAAATTGGTTTAGGACTTTTATTGATGATCATACTTGTTTATGTTGGATTTATTTAATGAGTGAAAAATCTGAAGTTGAGAATTTGTTCAAAAACTTTCATACCATGGTTGAAAATCAATTTCAAACTAAAATTGGAATTCTTCATACTGATAGTGGCACAGAGTATTTCAAAAAAGCTCTTGGAAGTTTTTTAAAAGAAAAAGGTATTCATCACCAAACTACTTTTGTGCAAAATGGTATTACTGAAAGAAAAAACAAACATTTACTTGAAGTCTCTCGTGCCATTATGTTTTCGATGAATGTTCATAAATATCTTTGAGGTAAAGCTGTTTTAACATCATCATACTTATTTAAGAGGATGCCCACTCGCATTCTCAACTATAGTACCCCTCTTGCATGCCTTATTTATTTATTTATTTATTTTGAGACTTGTATTCTAATCTGCCCCTAAAGTTCTTTAGCTGTACCATGTATGTTCACTTATCTAGTAAGGGTCGGTCAAAGCTTGATCCGAGGGCTGAAAAATGTGTCTTTATAGGTTATACTCCAAACAAAAAGGAGTACAAATAGTTTAACCCAAAAACTGGAAAAACCTTGGTTACCATGGATGTTTCTTTCCTTGAACATCAACCTTATTTTCAAAAAAAATTCCTTCAGGGGAAGAAACAGAGTGGAGGAAAATTTGTGGGAAATTATTCCCACTTCTTTACCTAAAATCGTGGATTTTGAAACTCTTGAAACTCATTTTCCCAAATTTACACTACCTAAATTGGATTTCAATATTTCTGATGAAAGGGATATAAGTATTCCTAATACTACTTTGCCAGGCATTGTAGTCTTCGACAGGAGGAGAAATACTACAGACTATTCCTAAGGGACGTAACTCTAAGCTTATGGTTTATTCTAGTAAAAAGAATCATCAAAAGAGTAGAGACCTCCTCGGTGCAAACTCAATCAGATGCCCTAGGCAATAAATCTATAAGCACTTCAGACACTATAAACTCTTCCCTACCTAATAGCACTTCTATTTTGCCCACTTATGTTTCTGTTCCTCATGAATCTCTTACACAAGAACCTCGTGATCTTGACATTCCTATAGCCATTAGGAAGGGTACTCGTTCTTGTACTAATCAGCCAATGTCCAAATACATGTCTTATGCAAAACTCTCTCAAAGTCATAAAGCATTTATATCCAAAATCTCTAACTTGTTTGTTCCAAGAAACATTCAGGAAGCACTTGATAATCCGGGGTGGAAATCAGCAATGATGGAAGATATGAATGCTCTAAAGAAAAGTGGGACATGGGAGATTGTGTATTTACCTAGAAACCAAAAAATAGTTGGGTGAAAATGGGTGTTTACAGTAAAATGAAAAGCTAATGGAAGTATAGAAAGATACAAAGCGAGACTTGTGGCTAAAGGATTTACTCAAACATATGGTATTGATTACCAAGAGACATTTGCCCCAGTAGCCAACATTAACTCTATTTGTGTATTATTCTCTCTTGCAATTAATTCCAACTAGCCATCATACCAGTTAGATGTGAAGAACGATTTTCTTAATGCCAGAATTTGAAAATGTTTGTGGTCAAGACAAAGTCTACAAACTAAGCTCCTGTTTGACACCCATTTTGTTTGAAAAATAATTTTTGGTATAGTGATTGATGGAAGATTGTGTGGTTAAAAAGTAAGAAGAATTTTTTGATTTATGTGTAATATTATTTTATTAATAGAATGTGTGGTTGAAATGAAAAAAGAGAAAGAGTGAAAAAAAAATGGGTGTCAAACAGGGGCTAAAAAAAATTTATATGGCCTCAAACAGTCTCCAAAAGCGGCTTTGAACGTTTTGGAAAGGGTGTGAATAGCTATGACTATCATCAAAGCCAAGCAGGACATACCATGTTTTACAAACATTCAGCGAAGGGAAAATTGCAGTCGTGTATGGATGACATGATTTTGACAAGTGATGACATTGAAGAACTGGCAAAGTTGAAAAAAAAACTGGCAGAAGACTATGAAATTAAAGGCCTGGGGACTTTGAAATACTTTCTTGGAATGGAATTTACAAGATCAAAAGAAAGGATCTTCGTAAACCAAAGGAAGTACATTCTTGATTTATTTAGTGAAACAGGACCTTTGGGGTGTAAAGCTACCGAGATTCCAATTGAAGCCAACCTGAAACTCAATCCTGCTAAACCTAAAGATGAGATTGAAAGGGAGAAGTATCAGCGATTGGTAGGGAGATTAATCTACCTATCTCATACTCGCCCTAACACAGTATTCGCTATAAGCATGGTAAGCCAGTTCATGCATTCACCAAGACAAGAACACTTTGATGCAGCCTACAGATATTGAGATATCTAAAGGGAACACCTGGAAGAGGTTTGATGTTTAGAAAACTTTACAATCTACAGGTTGAAGTCTACACAGAAGTTGATTGGGCAGGAAGCACAATTGACAAACGATCAACTTTAGGATATTGCACTTTTGTTGGAGGAAATCTAGTCACATGGCAAAGTAAAAAACAAAACATTGTAGCACGAAGCAGCGCTGAGGCTGACTTCAGATCCCTTGCACATGGAATTTGGGAGGTGATGTGGATCAAGAGGTTGCTAGTAGACTTGAAGATCTCGGTTGCACTTCCCATAAAAGTTTACTGTGACAACAAGGCTACTCTTTCGATTGCTCATTACCCAATTCTACATGATAGAACAAAGCACATATAAGTTGACAAACACTTCATCAAAGAGAAACTTAAGAGTGACCTAATTTGTGTTCCCTATGTACCAACTACTCAACAAACAGCTGACATACTAAAGGACATAAAAGACAGTTCGAACTCCTAGTAAGCAAGCTAGAAATGGAAGACATCTATAAGTCAGCTTGACGGGAAGTGTTGGAAAGGAGAATATTCAGTATTAATCATACCAAATATTAAGGTGATAGGAGTGTAAATATAGGAGATTAAGTCAAAGGTAGAATCAAGAAAATTAGTTAGGATGATTTGATTTTATAGGGTTATTAGTTTTCTAGAATAGCTCTCTTGTATTTTCTATTTAAGCCCGTGTTTGAGCCACATTAAAATTTTCATTCTCATTCTTCTACTCATTTTCAACTACACTCAATAAAATAATATTTTTCATCACATCAATAATTTTTCCTTCTTTTTCAACCACACATTTTCCATCAATCCACTATTCCAAAATACATTCTTTCAAAATAATGTGGCTCAAACACACCCTGTAAACTTACAAAATTAATGCAATACAATACTTTTCTTTCTCATATTAGCTTATATTACCTCCTTTTTTAACCCAAAATCAGTATGTTTGACGCTAGGCAACCGATAAATTCACAACAAAGATAGCTACTAATTCATCAGCAGTACAGAAATTTCAGAAAATATAAAATGGAAACCACCTCAAGAATTATCATATCATTTTAAATTATGAACCCAAACGTTAAAGCAAATCAGTTAACATGGGGTCCATCTGATAAACTGAGTCAAAAATACAAAACTGAAAATTAGAGCTACCCTTGAGTTAATGAAAACCTAGTAATCCCACCTCGGTCTCTCTATGCCAGCTTTTTGTCTTTCAGGGAGCCTTTGGGAATTTTACTCAGAACCTTGACATTGAACACAGCATATTGTTTCTTGAACTCTGCCTCCACTTTTTCAGCAAAAGCATCAACCTGATCCTCATATTTCTCGTAAAGTACAGGCACGGTGTGAAGCAAGACAAGACCTGTTTTTCACCAGGCAAAAATAGAATCAGAACAAGCCAATGACAGTGCACATTATGCCAGAATAAGTAAATGAGGATTATGATCGTGACATACGAGCTTTTTACATGATAAACATAAAGTTAAAAAGCTACTTACATATGTAGAGCAAGGTTAGGGAGTTGCAGCAACTCCCCAAAACTGAAAGTACCCAAAGACCGGCAACCACCTGACATGCAGAATGCAAAATCCTTATGATCCCATAATGAGTTGCAAAATTAGCAAATTTTAAACTTAAAAAGTCTTTTATCAGTAGATTACTAATCCACCAAACTTGTACATCTATGAAAGCAAAGATTTACATACAGTGAGGAACTTCTTCAGATCTCTGCCACGTACAATATCTCGAAGGATTGCAAGAGCTCTATTGAGTTCAATCCTAAGGGCAGAAGCTACACCCAGGACAATATCCTCAGGAATTATGATTTCCGGGATTTTAGGTGGAGCCCTAATACATAGAACAGCAAGATCAGATTCAAATAAAAAACTTATAATATAAAAAGTGTTGCCAAGCTCATAAATAAGCATACTTCTTGATGAAGGTGGAAATATTTGACCACAGGAAAAGGATGGCAAGAGCAAGGATTAGGATATGGGCTAATAGTGTGAGTAGGTGGTATTCGAGCAACTCAAAAAGCACCCAAATGGCCGTAGCAACACCCAGCACACCAGCAGAACTTTTCTTGTCTCTCCACAGGAAAATGTCAGCAGCTGCCAGGAAAAATGATTATAAGACAAAGATACATCTGGAGATACAAGTATATCGATGCATGAGAAAAAGATGAAACTACAACTCTCCCATGTTCTAGAGCATAGAAATATTTTGAAATACTTGATCATCTCGGATCATGTACTTCCTACCAATTCTTTCGTAAAATGTGATACCTCGTTCAGCCAACAGTATTACACATCTAATTTACCATATCTTTTTCATTTCCTAGCAAGCAAATTAATGATTTATACATCCCAGAGGAACGGTAAGAAATCCAGAAGAGAAACAACATGCAGAAGCTCTGACCATTTGAAGTTATTAAATCTATTATGTACACAGTACACTACTAAAATCATGCAATGCACAACTGTCTACAAAGAAAATGAAAATGATAAGTCCTAATAAAAACATTTACTTACCTGCAGTATCCATATATTTTTAAAGAAAGAAAAATTAAGTATTATACATTTTTCATTCTTTAAATAAACTACCCGTACTGCAATTTCATATTTAATGCATAGAAAATGAACAAATTGTAATAGATCACGATACACTTCATCAAAATAATGGCTAATTCTAATAATGCATAGTCATAAATACAGTTAAGACAAATATATTGAAACTACATCAATGCATATCTTTTCAATTAAATTTCTAATTTCCATTATCCAAGCACGAAAACACAATGGATTATACAGGGGATGAGCATTGTTTCCACTGTCTAGCTTACACCCTAATCAAATTTAATTAATTTGTCTTCGCATACGTCTACAAGCATTGTTATGCTATAGAACATAATCCCTAATTAAATAAAGTAATTTGTGTTTGAATATATCTACGTGGAATTATATTATAGTTCGAGCGCTTACGTTTTCCACCACCTAGAACCTTGTGCACGGGCTTTTCACGGCCGAAAAGTCGGTAGATCTTGGCCTTGACGGCGTCGGCAGTCGACTTGATCCCTTTCTCATCTTCAGAATCTGATGACGACGAATCGTGGCCGTGAAGCTTTTCCGTTATCTTCTCAATCACGGATTCCGTTTCATGATGCTTCTCGTGCTCGCCGGTGTGATCCGCCATTGCTACTTTTAATCCCGATCTTACTCACCGCCGATCGGAAATATTTTGCTTTTATTTGAGAATCACTTATTTTTCGCTTTTTTGCTTGTGGAAGAGGGAAAAGTGGAGAAAATGGTGGTGTTTTAAAAGTAGGGTATGAGAGGTTTGGGGGTTTAGGGTGTCCGAGCCTGAGGCTTGGATAAGACCGAGTCTGTGGTTCGGAAAAGAACAGGAATCAATGAAGAGATAGGGTTCCAATCTCACGCTATCTTTTGCTTTGCTTTATTCGAGGTGTTGGGACTATTTGGCTTGTTTTGATTTGTGCACTCCTTGAAAATGGGAGATTTATAAAAAAAGTAATGTAATTCATCTCTACTGGGATTACAAATAAAGTCTAGTCGCCCCTAAAATATTGTGGAGGAGGTAAAAATCGGAATGTGCCTCAACGGCTAGAGTACAAGAGCTGTTATACTGGTACCCATAAAGAGTCTAATTTCATACCTTATAAGAGGTAGGAATCGAACTCTCACATTGCGACTGTCAGTTCAACGGAGACTACCTCACTCCTGTCTTTTGCACCACTGACTCTAAGTTATGTCCCGGGGCACAAAAATGGGAGATTTATGTATCAATGTCTTGCAAAGAGGCACGGACCAGGAAGAAAGAAACAGCTTCTAACTTCATAACTTAATTCTTTACTTGTATACTCAGACTGGTTTCCATATCGATTCAATATGTGTCAACCTTTTTTTTTTTTATACCAGCTTGCCCGCACCTCAACTAATCACACGGGATCCTACAATTTACGGCAGAGTACTCACCTCAGTGTAGGGCTGTAAATGGATCGGATCTACCTATATCCGATCCGATCCGATCCGATCTGATAAGAAAATTTATCTGATCCAATCCGATAATCCAACGAATATTTAATTGCTAAATCCATATCCAATTTACAATGTTATTGGATATCCGATCCGAAATTAATAAAAATTAGGGAAAATTTTTTGAACTAACTTGAAACTCACATATTTTTCCTAACAAGCCCAATAGTGATTTCTACCATCATGATATCCATTTTTAAAGGAAAGACTCTCTTCTAGTTTTCTATTGACATTCGATGTGGGATAAAGTAAAATTGAATTTCANTTTTTTTTTTTTTTAACACATGTGGGGCCACCCCACATGTGAGAAGCCTGTAAGGCCTCGGTCCTGTACGTGGGAAATTACTTTTATAAAATTTTCAACTTTTTTATGTTTTAAATTTGATTACTTTTTTATTCTAAATTTTTTTATTTTCTCATTTATTTATTTTATTAACAAATAATATGTCATAAAAATATTTTATCAACTCAATTATTTATAACAAATCGGATCGAATCGTTATCGGATCGGATTGACCCATATTCATATTTGATCCATTTAGTTAACGGATTATTGGATTCGAATCTTGATCGGGTATTTCCCATTAATTTCGTCGGATTCGGATCGAATTCGGATCAAAATCCGATCTATTGACAGTCCTACCTCAGTGGCCCTAAAGGGACTCAAATTGGTGACCATTGAGGAGCAAACCTAAAGCCTGACCAATTGAGCAACCCCTCAAAGTTGTTTATGCTCATTTTATCAAAAGAAGTAACACATTTTTTTATAAATTGATCTATATTTTCATCTTTATTCGATGTGAAATTATATCACTTAACATGGTGATGTGGATTATATTAATCGACCTTTTTTTCATTCTCTGTTTTTTCTCTTTATCTCTCTTCCATATTATCATTTGTACATCAATCTGTAAACCATGATGCGCAGATAACATTATTCAATAAATAGTAGCCTAGGAGATTGGGTAATCTAGCTCAAATGGTGAAAAGTAAAAGCATCTGGCTCTTTGAAACTTGAAAGTATGAACAATGCTAGAAAAATAAGGCAAAAAATCAGGGAATTGCGTACAGATACAGTTTGCATCAAAACATTGGGGGATGAGAAAATTTAAAACAAAAACCGACAAGTCAAGAGGTGCCACGTGTATCTGATTTCAAATCATGTCTGAATTCCCTGTTCGAGTGGCTTTATCCTGAAAGTATAGTAATGCTATGATTAGTCTATGCGGTATAATGTACTTGAACTTATTATTTGTGGTATCACATTTTTAAGTATGTTCATTAACTGCCTCTTACATCTCTTTTAACAACAAATTAGAAGGCCAAGTCGAATCATAAATTTGCTAATGTGCTATCCTTGTTCAATACGCTTATTTCTCTTCGCCCATCTCAGAGTAGAAAAATGATTAGATCATTGTAATCCTAATTACTTCTCGAAATTTAAAGAGAAAAAATACGAAATTGACACCAACATAGGAACTCTTATCCTCTGTTGACTCGTCGACTACCAAGCCATTATGCTTTTGCGGTAATAAAGTCTCCACTTTTGTACTAACAATACTGAAGTTGTCCTACCAAGAACACATCTACCCGTGTTGAAAAATATATTTATTGTCGCAATTGTGTCATCTCTTATCTATGATTTACTTCATCCGTTGGTGTATGCACCGAACTTTGGACATTGGATTAAACTAGTTGTATATAGGGTTGGGCGTGGGTTGGGTCGGGTTGGTTTTTTGCCCAACCCAACGTGGTCGGTTTTTTTGAAATTCAACCCAACCCAACCCATTCATGCGTCAGTCAGGTTGGGCGGGTTGGTCGGTTTGAACAAAGTGTAATTTATTACCATATATTCAAACAAAACCAACACGTTGAAATACAATTAATATTTAATATAGCATACAACTATCTAAAGGAAGGAAGAATATTGCACCTGAGTCTGACTCCAATTTCCAGAAGATCAACATATCTTCAACTGCATTAGTACCAACACAAGAAAAAATTAGTGAGACAAAAAAAATGAAAGGGGAACTATCATCAGAAAGGCGAATGACTGCACACAGTTAATATCTTCAACATTGCAGAATCCGGTAATATAATTCTTCTGTGTCAAAACTCAAACTCAAATCATTTCACATAATCCAGTTATAAACATTAGAGCAGAAGAAACAAACAAAAGTAATCAACTTAAGTCAAGACAGCTGTACATTCCCAACATGGGAAATTTCTGAGGCTATGTTCACATAAGGATTTTTCACCAATAACCCCAAGTAATTTAAAGCACAATATTTATGATATATTGGTTCAGTGAACATTACTTGAGAAACTCAAAATTAATAGCCACAGAAAAACTGCAGGAAAAACAAGAAACACCAACATTCCTCAGGCACTATTGCATCTTTTGTGGTATCAAATATTATATAATGAGCTAAAGAAACTCTTCTTTTCATTCC